GGGGTGGCTGGGGAGGGGGTGTGCAGGTGCTTCGGCGTGGGGCGAAGGCATCTACTGGCACGTCTTGGAGAGGGGGGATCCCTTTATGAGGGTGGCAGGAGGCAGAGGTACCCAGGGAGACCCGGAGGTCCCCCAGCCGCTCCCTCAGCTCCCCATCATCTTCCTCCTCAGAGAAGCCATTCGCAGGCAGCAGGTAGAAGCCTCCACGGCTGTCTGGGGAAGATGGCCAAGGTCAGGCTGCCCCCGCATCAGCCCAGACCACCTCGCCAGACCCCAGTCCGTGCCTTTCTAAGGCCTAGGAGACCAGGCCTGGGTTTGCTCAGGCCCTACGGCAGCCCTGCCCATGTTCCATTGTAAGAGCACTTTAATACTTTCTATTGTAATAGTTACAGGGTTTTTTAATGTGTCTAAGAAAAAATATGACACACACCAAACTAGTAATTTCTGGGAGGTTATTGCACAGAATGATCTAAAAAGTGAGTGGGTTTAAAACCAATTATTAGGTAAACCATAGTGGTGAGCGGATGTGGCAGAAACGGTTCTGGTGGATGAGGGCTTTCCTTCAGGAGCCCCACACACCTCTGAAACCACAACACCCACAGCCCCTGGGGCGGGGCCAAAAGAAGGCCTGTCCTCCTTCCCCGGTCCCCCTGGGTGTGCCCCGCCCCCGGCCCTGGGACTCTGACTGACCAGGCACAGGGGTGATGAGGTGACGCTTGGGTGGTGTGTCTTGCCGGGCTGGTCGCAGGGCAGGAGGCCGTACTGGTTGGAGAGAAGAGGTCAGCGGCAGGGATGGGCTGACAGGCTCCCCGATGGACACAGCTGGAAGGGCTCTGCCCCCTTTCCATTGGGATATGCCACCCTCCTCCCCACCTGGGGTTCAGGATCCACAAGTCCTGCCCCCCAGCTGCTGACCTGCCCGGCTCTTGAGGGCCTCAAACGCCTCCAGCTCCACAGGCATCACCATGCTGTCGAAGCGGCCCAGGTCCGTGGGGGCCACCACACTCCTGGGAGAGGGAGAGACGGGGGTGGGCAAGGGTCCAGTTCTGAAGGTGCTGGGGGTGGGGGCTTCGGCCCTGGGATGGTTGGGGGAGGTATCAGGGGTCCCCTGCTGGGAGCCGGTCCACCCTTGCTGCTTGACACAGTCGCTGCAGGGAAGAAACATCTGCACAGCTTATGTTTCAAGGGACCTGGCGTATATGACATATGTTTGCTCCCCCCTCTTAGCGCTATGTGTTTTAACCAGGACCACCTCCCCGAGAAAGGTTGTTTCCCCAGGTTAGGGGTTAACAGGACTAAGGAAGAGAATAAATCAGTAAATCCCCCTAGTGTTACAGAAATACCATGTACTACTTATGAAGAACTTGGACTAAGACTGTTGGCAATAAATTTGGGACTTGTTGGGCCCACATCCCCAGGGGTCTGCCCACCAGGGAAAGCACCAAAGCCTATACCCCTGGAGACCCACTGACACAGGGCAGTCCCAGGGAAGGCAAGCAGCGAGGCTGGGAGGACATAACCTTTACTGGGTAGGATAAACTCCTTCAGTCACTTCCTTGTAGCCTATCAGGAGAACAGTGACCTTGGAATAGCCCTTGTAATGGAACACAGAGATTAACCTAGACAAGATTAAAATCAACAGAACTAAATAGAGACAGGATTTTTGGCTAAGGTCAGATACGAAACAAGGAATTGTAGAACGTGACAAACATACCACCATGATGTAATTATAGAGGCATGCTTATGGGATCAAATAGTATAAATATAGATGTAATAGGACAATAAAGAGAGAACCTCGCTATGATGATCACCTGAACACTGCCCCCGTGTCATTCATTCTTCGCCGGCTCTGTCCACACCTTTGGGAACCCCTGGACCTGCTGGGGCTGGACCCCAACAGTCCCCCTCCTGCCCGAATTCCTTCCTACAACCCTCCCCACCTGATGTCCCGCAGCAGCAGCAGCTTTGCGGGCTTGTCCAGGATGGCCAGCAGGGGCCTCACCAGGTCCTCCACGCCGCCCTCGTGCACGTACTGCGGAGACAGGCACCCAGGTCAGAGAGCAGCAGGGACTTCCCCAGCTGGGCCAGGGGCGATGCCTGGGCATGTCTGGGGGGGCCCCCCATGTTAGGAAGGGCTCTCCCCATCCCCGGGCTGTCCACAGGATGTCTTATCTTGGTGACTAGGTGAAAGCCTGCAACAACAATAACAGACGTGTAACGGCAATGACAGCTATGGGGCAGGCACTCTTCCAAGCCTTTTACACATGTCTCTCATTTAGCCACCACCCACCCTGAGAGATGACATTATTGATTCCTGGTTTGCAGGTGAAGAAACTGAGGCTCAGAGAAAAGGGCTTTGCCAACGCCGCACAGATGAGGAAGTACGGAGAGGGACTAAAACCCGAGACGTCTGGCT